CTTCACCGTCTGCTGCACCTTCTCCAACAGCTCCTTCACGCCGCCGCTCTGCTGTCCAGCTGTGTTCCCACGCTGCAGGACGTGATAACGATCGCCGCATCTCTGCACCAGCTCCAGCATCTCTGGGCGTCGGGAGGTGATGTACGCCTCCACCTGCTCCACACCCTCCGCTGTGTCCGGCAGCAGCTCCGAGCGCGTGAAGAGGACGACCATGTGCCGGCGGACGGCGTCAGGTCCGAATGCACCCTCCAGCGCGCTTAGGGCCAGCAGCTCGGAACAAGCAGGTTGGTCAACAGGGACGCAGAGCAGGAATGCATGAGGGCCCGGGGCCAACAGGGCCACACATGAGGAGATCTGAGCTTTCACCTCCTCAGGAGACCTCTCCGACTGAAACCAGTCCGGAGTATCCACCACTGACACCTGACGGAGACAGAAACGAGGCTCGATCACGTGTGCCCTTCAAACACACAGTCACTCAGCTTCAGAACTAAAGTTGGAGAACTGTGTTATACTGACCCGTGTGTCCTCCACGAGCGCTCGGGCCATCACACACCGCTGAGAGGCCACCGTGACAAACTCCTCACGACCCAGAATGATGTTCCCGGCCACACTCTTCCCAGAACCATGGCGACCCAGCAGAACCAGCCTCAGCTCAGGCAGAGAAGAGTCGTTCAGAGGATCAGAGGAGGAATATGATGATACACCAGAGAGAGTTTCACTGTCATCCGAAATCTTCTTAAAAGTGTGGTGGACTAGAATGAGAAACATAAGCAAATGTATCAGTGTCAGTCCAGGGATCAGTCCAATCCTGCTCCTGGAGGGCCATCGTCCCAGCTCAAACACACTCGCCTGGGGGTTTCTATAATGCTGAAGACCTTGGCTAGCTGGCTCAGGTGTTTAGTTAGGGTCGGAGTTAAACTCTGCAGGACTGTGGCCCTCCAGGCAACAGGTTTGGACACCCCTGGATTAGTGTGTACTAGTGTGCATGTGTTTGTTTCATCCTGTAGTGTTTGTGCTCCAGACGTGAATGATTCCTCTAATTATGTGTCTTGTTGAGGAGAGATTAGGGTTAGTCTTAGTGTTAAACCCTAACCCTAACCTTAAACCTTGACCAGGAGCACAATTTTCAACTGCTGCACCATATAACAGGTGAAAAATCCCACAGATGCACACCCGAGCCAGAAGATCACAGAGTCTCTTTTCGTGGCAGATGGGACAAACTAGTTATAAGTGAACATAATATGAACCTACTGGTGTTGATGAAGCTCTGGCTGTACTGGACCTCTGGCACCTCCATCATCTGACTGAGAATAGCTCCCTCTAGAGTTACACACAAATATAACATCTCATAAATGAGAATCATTTCAAGCATACCATTCTTTTGTCTTCCAATTGGTAGCAACACGTCTTCTCAGCGTTAGTATTTGCGTGATTAGTTTGATTAGATCAGGCATGTCCAGTCCTGCTCCTCGAGGGCCACGTTCCTGCAGAGCTTGGCTCCAAGAGCCGGAAGGTTCCAGTGATCCTAAAGACCTTGATCAGCTGGTTCAGGTGTGTTTAACTGAAGCTGGAGTAAACTCTGGCCTCCAGGAACAGGATTGGACACTTCTGGATCATCTGAATGACTTTCATGTGCTTGTTCAGTCATCCGGTTAGTTTCAGCACCTTTGTTGAGTTTGAAGCTCGGGTTTTTCTCCAGCGGTGTGTGTCGGGAGTGTGTTTCCTCACACTCGCTCTGCTGCGACTGAAGCCCGTTGATCAGGCGTCTCTCAGTCATTACATCACTTCCTGTTTCTCCTGTGTGTTTGTCAAACATATTGATTTGTGTTTGTTTTCCTCCGCTGCCTCCGTTCCACATCGTGTCACTTGTTGCACTGAGCTTCATCTCTGTTTTCTCCTCTCTGACGTCTCTCCCGTGTGTTTCCTCGTCCCTGAGTGGGTGAAATCCTCCGTTCCTCTGGATCATCTGCTCCACCTGAGACACGGGAAACAGGTTAAACATTTCTCAAAATCCAAATAAATTTCTATAAAACTGGGCTTTGTCAAGCAATCTTAATCATCCCTTCCACTGCAGTCTGAATTGCAAGCTCAAAAGTCCTTTATTTCAGCATCAAACATGCTAATGTGTATAAATGTGTTCAGTAATGCCTCCATCGCTCTTGGAGTCTCATGAAAAAACACTGTGATGCAGTGCAGATGACACATTTTTGTCGAGCCAGAGTCTGAGAGCAAATGTTCATGGTCTTGGTCTTGTCATGGACTCGGGATTATTTGGATTTGGTCACGACTTGGACTAGAATGAGCTGGTCTGCTAAACAACATGATACACATCTGCAACCACATTTTGATGGTTTCAGTATTGATTAACTAATGGGTCTGATCTGAGCTCTGGTAAAAGAATGGTGTGGTCAGTCAGTCAGTCCTAAAGATCAGCACTAGACACCACATTAGAACAGACCAGAGCTGCACTTCCCAAGAGCACTGTAGCACAAGTAGATTGTGAAGCCCATTGGAGTCAAAGATCTCTGTAGGCTTATTATGCTTTTGAGACACACAGCCCAGTGGTGTCCAGTCCTGCTCCTCGAGGGCAACTTCCCTGCAGAGTTTGGCTCAAACAAGACCTTGATTAGCTGGTTCAGGCGTGTTTATTTAGGGCTAGAACTAAATTCTGCTGGAAAGAGTTCCTCTAGGAGCAGGACTGGACACCTCTGGAATAGACCCCAATCAGAGGAAGCTTTCAGTCGGACCGCTGTATCCCGGTCCCAGTGGCTTACCTTCTGTAGCAGAGTGAGGACCTGCTGTCTGTCGTCAGGTCTGCGGTTACTGATCAGATGGCAGCGGCCGTGACACCTCCTCACCACCTCCTGCAGCCCCGCCTCCTTCCCGAGGTACTCCTCCAGACCGCGGCCCATCAGGTATTCTCCACAGGTGAGCAGCACCAGCGTGTGACCCAGCACCGACGGCCCAAACATGCGCTCCAGCTGATCCGGGATGCGCCGCTCCACCTCCGTGAACTCCCCGATGGGAATGAGGATGAGGAAGACGCAGGGCCCGGGAACGCTGGAGCTGAGGAACCGCCGGGTCTCCTCCTGGATGTCAGCCTCCACCTCCTTGCCCCACCAGTACCAGCGAGGGGTTTCCACGATGCTCAGCCGCCAGCCCGCCGCCAGTCCTCGTCGTATCTGACTCACACGGGACGAGGCCGAGGGTCCCGGAGCAGAACTCTGACCCAGCAGGGTGTCCGCTGTCATGGTCTTCCCACAGCCGATGCTGCCCACCAGAACCAAACTCAGCTCAGAGAGGGAACGGTGAGAGCCGATCCCCCGCTCCACAGAAACTAAAAACACAGACGGAACGATAATCAAGACACTAATAAACAGACTCTGGAGCAAGCCTCTGTATGAGCTGCATGCTGCCGTCTTTGCTCATGAATTCTGGCTACACGTTGGTTTGAGCCAATCACCTAGATTTCATGTGACTAATAACTCTGTGGCTGCAAAAAAGGTGACATCCTGCCAACACTGATTGACTATGACATCACAAGCGTGTCATAGCTTCAGCAGTGACGTCACAGACAGCAGACGGGACGAATTGAAGAGCATACACTAAGTTTATTTGTTTACAGGGGCCATGCATATTAATAAACAAAACTGTAAATGTGCCAGAATTAGCCAAAAAGGCTATTTTTCATCTGTAGACCCTTGACAATGTTAAAAGGTCACCCTAAAAACAAATAACATCATTACACATCATATGAAAAAAAGGAAGTAAAAAGTAAAATACAGAAACATAAATGCACAATAAAAATCGCTACTAAAATACAAAATACAAGTAAATTATCTAGACAAAGTAAAAATATGAGCCTCCAGAAACAATCAAGACATCTGGAACTACAATAGTGCAGTAACTTCATCATGCATTTCTGAAGTTTCAGCACCTCCTTCACTGAACATTTGTTAAGTAAAACATGCTTTCTACATTTGTAGACTTCTAAAATAGTTTCAGACTGAGTTTCATGCGATTAATATCTCCTGATGTCTTTTGTCCTCAAACATTCCTGTATGTGAGACACCCGTCAGTCCAGTTGCACGACATTCAGCACACACATTAGTAACACAAATCATAACTTCAACAGATCAAATAATTAAACTAGTCTAGTGTGCCCAGTGTGTTTCTCCCTAGTCATGAACAAGCCACGTATAATACGACTCATTTAATGAAATGTGAAATTTTCAGTCAATTCCAAGCCCTTACTGTACTGCAGGAGAACATGAAGATGTGAGAATCACTGTAGTCTTACCCTGATCAGAGAAATCCATGCGTGTGTCAGTGAGGTCAGTGTCTCTCCGTCTGTCCTGATCTCAGTGTGAAGTGTCTCTGCCTCCGCTCATGTCTGTCAGAGATGCACCACACCTGCAGCTGTGGGGGGAGGAACGGTGCACTGCATGCGTGTGAACCACAGCGATGCAGCCGCACCCAGACCCACCAAACCTGCAGCCGCCACTCGCAGAGGGAGTGTCTCGCCTTCAGCTGCTTCAGTTTCTGCCTGAGCTGATGGAAGACGACTGCAGCTGCTCGAGTAAGAGACGCGCTGGAAGACAAGAATCTGAACTGGTTTGCTCTAGGTTCATCTAGCTGGTCTCCCACCCCTGACCAGCTGGAAAGTGCTCAAAACCCCTCGAAAACCTGCGTACGGACCAGGCTGGAGAGACCTCATGAGCACAGAAACTCAGTGGGAACAGACTGTTGGTGACGTGTTTTCATTCAGGAAGAGTTAGGTTAGGGTTAACTTGTGATTATCTTGCCCGGTGAGATTCTCTGCATCAGGACGGTGACTATAGAAGAAATTCACACTAATGTCTGTTGTAACGCCGAGAACGCTACACATTGCGAATCGCTCATTTCTGAACGCCGACTTTGTATATTCTCAAACGGACAATATTTCAACCACAAACAAAGCCTACAAACCAAACGAAATGAAAAGACGGGCCACTCCAGAGTTAAAAGAACATACTAAAATGGATTTTATTGAGAGAAAAACAACAGAAATACAAAATCAACATTAGATCAGATAGAAATGGAGCGCAGGTTTAAGAAGCAGGTTAAAAGTTGAAGTGTCTGAGAGTTGATCCAGTGCAAAACTGAGCGAGTCGTGAAGTGTTTAGTGGATGTTTGATCCGCCTCGGGAGCAGCATCAGGAGGCCTTCACAGACCCGGCATCACGTAGGCGATGTTGTCCAGAGTGTTTGACTGATCACAAACAGACACACACAGGTCAAATCATTTCTGGTGCTGATGTTAGTGATGATACTGATGTTTATGTGTTAAAGCCGTGGAGGGTCAGTACCAGCACATGATGTGGACAGCCGTTGAGTTCTGGGACCTGAGAGGTGAGACAGGCCAGCGGACCCAGAGCACACAACACTGAGTCCAGCAGAACCGAGAGAGAGCCGGAGACCGTCACCATCCCCTGAAACACACACACAGAGAGATCATCTGACCGTCTGCGTGCCGCTCATCCTCATCAGCAGGAGTTTAAAGAAACAGATCCAGAAAGGAAACCTGGCAGCTTTCCCACCCTTGAGCCGAGGCGTTCTGAGCGCAGAAGGATCAGTTCGAGATGCTTTTAAAGCTGCTCATCTCTGCATGTGCTGTGAAGTTACCGTGCATTCAGAAGCACGCTGTGCACCAGTTACAGTTTATTTACACATTCACATCTTGCTTTACAGCATTTCAAATAAAAGCTTGAGGGTTTGAATGTTTGAAAGTTAAGAATTTAAGACATATTATAATAACAATGTAAATTGTTTTTTTTTTACAGTACAACTGTAACAACACTAATATTTCTCTTTTTTAAAATTATAATTAGTACAAGTAAATAAAATAAATAATAAAAGTTAAAATAATATATTAGAGTAATATATAATAATAATAATTAGTAGTAGTGGCAGTATTTTCTATTCACTTTAGTGGGGTTGCTAAAACACTAGTGTGACCATTAACTGACATCACAGAACTATGAACATGCAATAAATATGTTGTTAAATTATATTAACATTCAAATCTAAGTAAGTACTTTGTCTAAGGGGTTCAGCTAACAAAAACATATTTGCACACCCCTGTGTGTGTTCTGTGTGTGTGTGTTTATTAGTGTGTTCTGTGTGTTTATGAGTGAGTGAGTGTGAGTGTGTGTGTGAGAGTGAGTGTGTATGTGTGTGTGTGTGTGTGAGTGTGAGTGAGTGAGTGAGTGAGTGAGTGAGTGTGTGTGTGTGTGAGAGAGTGAGTGTGTGTGTGTGTGTGTGAGTGTGAGTGAGTGAGTGTGTGTGTGTGAGAGAGTGAGTGTGTGTGTGTGTGTGTGAGTGTGAGTGAGTGAGTGTGTGTGTGTGAGAGAGTGAGTGTGTGTGTGTGTGTGTGAGTGTGAGTGAGTGAGTGTGTGTGTGTGAGAGAGTGAGTGTGTGTGTGTGTGTGTGAGTGTGAGTGAGTGAGTGTGTGTGTGTGAGAGAGTGAGTGTGTGTGTGTGTGTGTGAGTGTGAGTGAGTGAGTGTGTGTGTGTGAGAGAGTGAGTGTGTGTGTGTGTGTGTGAGTGTGAGTGAGTGAGTGTGTGTGTGTGAGAGAGTGAGTGTGTGTGTGTGTGTGTGAGTGTGAGTGAGTGAGTGTGTGTGTGTGAGAGAGTGAGTGTGTGTGTGTGTGTGTGAGTGTGAGTGAGTGAGTGTGTGTGTGTGAGAGAGTGAGTGTGTGTGTGTGTGTGTGAGTGTGAGTGAGTGAGTGTGTGTGTGTGAGAGAGTGAGTGTGTGTGTGTGTGTGTGAGTGTGAGTGAGTGAGTGTGTGTGTGTGAGAGAGTGAGTGTGTGTGTGTGTGTGTGAGTGTGAGTGAGTGAGTGTGTGTGTGTGAGAGAGTGAGTGTGTGTGTGTGTGTGTGAGTGTGAGTGAGTGAGTGTGTGTGTGTGAGAGAGTGAGTGTGTGTGTGTGTGTGTGAGTGTGAGTGAGTGAGTGTGTGTGTGTGAGAGAGTGAGTGTGTGTGTGTGTGTGTGAGTGTGAGTGAGTGAGTGTGTGTGTGTGAGAGAGTGAGTGTGTGTGTGTGTGTGTGAGTGTGAGTGAGTGAGTGTGTGTGTGTGAGAGAGTGAGTGTGTGTGTGTGTGTGTGAGTGTGAGTGAGTGAGTGTGTGTGTGTGAGAGAGTGAGTGTGTGTGTGTGTGTGTGAGTGTGAGTGAGTGAGTGTGTGTGTGTGAGAGAGTGAGTGTGTGTGTGTGTGTGTGAGTGTGAGTGAGTGAGTGTGTGTGTGTGAGAGAGTGAGTGTGTGTGTGTGTGTGTGAGTGTGAGTGAGTGAGTGTGTGTGTGTGAGAGAGTGAGTGTGTGTGTGTGTGTGTGAGTGTGAGTGAGTGAGTGTGTGTGTGTGAGAGAGTGAGTGTGTGTGTGTGTGTGTGAGTGTGAGTGAGTGAGTGTGTGTGTGTGAGAGAGTGAGTGTGTGTGTGTGTGTGTGAGTGTGAGTGAGTGAGTGTGTGTGTGTGAGAGAGTGAGTGTGTGTGTGTGTGTGTGAGTGTGAGTGAGTGAGTGTGTGTGTGTGAGAGAGTGAGTGTGTGTGTGTGTGTGTGAGTGTGAGTGAGTGAGTGTGTGTGTGTGAGAGAGTGAGTGTGTGTGTGTGTGTGTGAGTGTGAGTGAGTGAGTGTGTGTGTGTGAGAGAGTGAGTGTGTGTGTGTGTGTGTGAGTGTGAGTGAGTGAGTGTGTGTGTGTGAGAGAGTGAGTGTGTGTGTGAGTGTGAGTGAGTGTGTGTGTGAGTGAGTGAGTGTGTGTGTGTGTGTGTGTGTACCTCGGTCTCCTGCAGTCTGCGTCCGATCAGACTCAGAGACTCTCCCAGCAGCTGCAGGTGTGCGGCTGCGTCGATGGGATCCACGTCTGGGTCTCTGAGCGGGGAGAACGCAGCTGTGTTTGCTGGTCGCGGCGCTGATCCATTCTGGGCTGGAGCCACTGCTGCTTCCTGCCTCTTCAGCACAACAGCGCCTCCTGCAGGAGCCACGGCTGCGCCTGAGTGATGCCCTGAACACCAACATCAAACACATCAGCTGACATCGTTGAGCTGCATAACCTGACTATCACACAGCTGCTGACCTTTGACCCTGCTGCCGTTCTTGAGCGCTCGGGACGCGTGCTGCTGTTTGACGTGCTTCACGTGTTTGCCGCTCTCAGACTTCATCTGCTTCCGCTGCAGGTACTCGGATCTCTCTCGCCACACCTGAGAACCATCAGCCCGTCATCAGTGACAGCACACACACCTCACACTACTGCATCTTGGGTAATGATAATGCTTATCACCTCTTTGTCTCCCTCGGGCAGCTGCTTCCATGCATCAGCCAGTCTTTTGCTCAAATCCCCAAAATCTGAGCTCAAATAAACAGACAGAAACATACTGACATTAAATAAACCGTCGGTTTTATCATCACTCATACTGTAAAAGAAAACTGCAAACAGCAAGCTAAAATCTGATTGGCTGATCTGTTCAGATATTCATAGTTTTGACTGGGCGCTTAAGAAACTCTGGTTGGACACTTTACATGTGCTGCTAATCAAACATCTACATGAGATGAAGATGAAGATGAACCCACCGAGGCCCGGCTCTTCCTCCAGAATGCTGCTTCTGTACTCCTTATAAAAGATCTGATACGCCGTCAAGACCTTCTTCTTCTGCAGACACACACACACACACACACACACACACACACACACACAGACA